ATATGGAGAAATGGCAGATGTCCCAGAAGGGGCAGCTTGAAACTGGAATATCTCAAGTCAGAAGGAATGACCTTGTTAAAGGCCGTTGCCGAGCAATTTGTGGTGTACCTCAGGTGGAAGAGGTCGCCAGAATCGTGGAACTACTCTTGTTTTTGCTCATGAAGGTGATAGCGAGGACAGAAATCCACCGAATCATCATTATTCTGCTACAAGCCTACAAGGTCTTTTTCAAAATCAGCTTCAACTGCAGAGGGAGAACGGATCAAAAAGTGCAAAGATCACCGTCTAATGTAGAACCATGATTCGTTCTAGAGATTTTCTCAAAATAACTGCAAAGAATTAACCTTCAAATGAACATTATCGAGGGCATCGACGTAGACGGATTGTGGCATTCATGCTAATACCATCAAAGCGGCCGATGGAGCATCAAGCAGGACAGCAAGGGAAACGAGAAAACGGCTTATCAGCCTTTCAGAAGGCAGCCAGTGGTCAAAACCCCCAACTCAAGGTCAGAACCCAGCACCTCCCGAGTTCGAAGTCGACCTCTTTACCATTATGCCCCGACTCTCATTAGTCCATATCTTATTTTTGCTAGTTTGTTGACAGATCTTGGAAGGATGCTTAAATTTTAATGAACAACGTGGTACACATCAACCAAACATACGCGCATTGAGCCTCATTGCTAGACTCTTTGTCGTCGTAAAATATTTTTAAATGAGCACCGAATCAACTGTTCACGAAAGCAAACTAGCCCCCAGGGCCTCGTGAATGGCCAGGAGCATTGATAGAGCACTGAAATTTATTGTATCCGTCTAAAACCTCACCGCCATTCTCGGATGTTGCGTCAAGTTCAACAAGCGTATTCCTGAGAACTGAATAAACAGTGTTCAAACTCGCATCGATGCTTCATTAGCGCTTCGCTTAAAGTTTCTTCGTCGAAAGTGGTGCAACTCGCAAATGAAGCCGATCTTCATCTTCTCGATTATGTATTTGCTCAGGGTTCTCCAAGCAACTTCAGCCTTCGCTTGAGTATCGTCGTCGAACGCGCCTCTTCTGATCATTTGCTGATGGATGCACTTCACCATGGCATTCTCAAACACATCCCAGTAGGCCATCTTGAAGCCCTTGGCCACGTACTTGGCGTGCCGAGCTCCGACCTCCGTTAAGATCTCGTCCAGGCGCTCGGCGTTGTTCAGCGCCGTCAGACACAGCGCGATCACCTGTACGAACTTCAACGCCTGGTTCCTGAAGTTAGGACAGTTCCTGATGTTACCGTCGCTGTCGGCCAGCACCGGAAACAGGGCGCGTATCTCCGGAGCCGAATTGAAAATCTCCGTGTAGATGTCGGTGCCCAGGTCGTACAAGCCATCGAAGCTGGTCACCCATGTGTTGCACAGCAGCGATCGTTCGTTCGAGCTGAGGTTCAGCCTGGTTGCCGGGCGCACGGCGTCGAAGATGCTTCTGGACGGAAGAGAGTGAAACGTCCTCGCGATGTAGGTGCCCAGGGACCTTGCACGGTCGACGCCCGCCTCCGACGCCTCCGACTGACCGTGGTTGCAAGACGCGTCGAAACCACTGCCGCATTGCGAATACGCAC